AGTTACTGCCCGTTTCAAGTCCGGGTAAAAGAGAAGGGTTAAGTATGGGATCGACAACCATATCCCATAGAAAACAACCTTGTTATAAAAAAACAATTACCAGAAATGACTAAAATTAGCAAACAAAAAGATTATTTAACTTTTAATTTGATCACAGAGAACTTTCAACTTTTCCTTCTTTTACTTTCACATGATAATCACATGTCTTCAACAATCTTGATTGACAAATGCATTCAGTAAATTATTTTAGTTCATCAAAACTTTACACTTAATCTTAAATCATTCACTTTATGGTTACATTTTAAACTAGAAATATTTCATTAAGAAGGATATTTGAATATCTGTTAACTTATGTTGTTTCTTTTCCAATTATTCTAGTTCATAGTCATATATAGTAGGATGAAGAATTTCTTTTGATTAATCTGAAGAATAAAAATCTAAATCTCATAGACAATAATACTTGTTAGTAAAATCATACTTACAAACTTCAGTTAAAAGAGTATGCAAAATTGATGTTCATTGATTGTCACAATTCTGTTAATACTAATACCAAAATAATACACATAAATTCAAATCCACATCTGATTTCAGTGTATACATGAAGTGTGTACAACAGTGAATTCAAAGAAGCGCGTATCGTCCCATTTGGAACTTGTAGGTTGGATGTATTTACATTTGAGTAAGCGTTCATTTCGGTACACAAACCTAGTACCTGACTCATGGCAACTGGATACAGATAGTCACTCACTTGAGTCATAGGTATGAATTTTAACTTAATTTGCAATGAATTAAATTATTCTGCTATTGATATTTTGATTTTGTTGAGAAAGCTGATGGGTCCGAGTCCCGGATTTAACATAAACTGTGGGATGAGGGCACATACACTTGATATGTCCAAAATAAGACGAAACGAGCTTTCTCGATTCCATTGTTAGCTACATTCCACTTATATCGTATAAACTTGTGTCATAATGGTTATATTGAAACAATCCGCACAGAATGGGCATGTAACAACGACGTCAAAATATGAACAATAGGATAATCCAGTAGTTTAGAGTTAAAGCAATCTCACTGTAATTTAAATTCATATATAACGGTTGTTTTAAATTTCCCCATTGCTGTTTAAGACTTCCACAGATCAGTTTCTTTTGATATACAACCACCCTGTGTGGATTGCCACTAAGTCACAAGCATTTTAAAGAGATGGATCATGCCTCAAAGTGGAATCTAGGATGTACGTTTCTTTTTTTTTAGGGACTCTTAAACTGAATGTACCTGCATCCCAGAGTTGCTGTACATTTCGGTACTCGAATCCAACACCTTTCGCTTCAAATGCCATCACACTATCTATCTAGCTACTGAATCCAGGTAGAAACTGGCTTGTGCAATTGTATGAACTGAGATTTTGATTCATATACAATGGTTGTCTGGAACTTTCCACTGATGTTTAGGACTGCAAATGATCAGCCACTTTTTGGCTTGCTAGCTTATGGATGATACAAGGGGATTTGGAGCGAAAGTTTCTGAGTTCGAGTTCACAGATTGGATATCAACTCGGATGCAGGTACGTCTAGGCGACGAGCCCAAATAAAACGAAAGTCGCTTTCTAAATCTGGCTGTTAACTACCATCCATCTCCGTTTGTAATTTTACTCTAGTTTGAAGGTCCCCCCAAAAAACACAAATTTCTAGTCAACTCAACAGGACCATGCAAGATGTTTCCATTATTTGCTAATAATCAACAAATTCAAATGTAGTCATCCATAGTTATATTTCCAACCTCGCTGATAGGATTCGACAATCTTTGGAGAGTAAGCAACTTAGTTTAAGTTACTTTATTACTTGTGACAAATACTGGTATGAATGCCTTCACCACTCACCAATACTACGACAAACCAACGGTTATTGGACCTACCTAAATATGATCTTTTTAGAGATTTCAATAAATTATTGTTAAATAAAATTAAGTACGTTCTTCACATTGAAATGTTCCCATTAGCATCATGAAGATATGGAATTTTTGTTGGGTAATTAACTATTTGTTTAGAACACAATAGAATAAATAATACTTATTCCCAGAAGTTCTTAAATTTAAATAGCGAACTGCTTACGAGTCCCTAACTAGAGTGAAACACTTATTGACATTCTTTAAATAAATTGAATATTTACAGACCCTTTAATTGATCGAAAAGTTTTCAGGCAGATAATATGAAATCCTATTGAGAAGTCTTGACCTACACAGTTTACAGTAGTGAGTATGATTGTCAATGCTTTTATTATGTCACAAAGAAAAATAATACCAGGAAATATACACCCTCAAATTTCATAACATTAAATAAGTGAAATTATACATATTGGAAGATGAGTGGGCTCTGGATTTAATCTTGTGTTCAATCAAAAAGAGATCATTACTGAGGAGTTTAGAAATATGAAGACTAACAGAAGTTTATTTAAGCAAAGACGGATAGTGACTATCAGTAGAATCCAGGACGTGCGTTTCGTCCTACCTGGGACTCTTCAGCTGTGTGTACGATCAGGATTCATTAGCTAAGTGGATAACACGATAGAGTTTGAAGCGAACGGTATTGGGTTCGAGTCCCGGAGTGAACAACTCGGAGATGCATTTACAATTAGCTGACGAGTCACAAATAGGACAAAACGCGCGTCCTGGATTCCACTGCTAGCCACTATCCATCTTTGATTAAAAATTTTGGGAATTAAGGCAATATCGAGACAATCCGCAAAGGATGCACATATACCAACAAGGGACTGATCAATTACAGTCCTAAATAACAATGGGAAGATACAAGTAAAACGACAGCAAGTGAATTTAACAGAAGTCTAGTTCTTTTTTATGTTTAATGTATTAGATAATATTGACCTTCAATCATTAAAACATAGTTTCAAATTAAAAGTTCTATAAACCACTTTGTAGATAGATCTTCTATTAATCATATGAATAATTGTACGTTTGCGTGTAGATAAAATTGATTCATCAGAGACTATAACTGACCTTAAATATAGTTAAACACACCACTTATTGTTAGTTAAATTTATTTACCGATAATCTTTTTCAGGACATGCGATATGACCAAATAAAGAAGAACAAGTCTGCTCAATAAGAAATTAATTATTTTAACAAAATGTTACGTAATTAATTACCTTAGTCAAAACTTTAACTAACCAGTTAGGAATTATTACCAAAGTCTGATTTGATAACTTTGAATAAATTGAACAAAAGGTACATTCGAAGTCTAGCATAGTGCCATGATAGAATGGAAGAACAAAAATGACTCCTTAGACTAGACAGGATAAAACTTTACTATAAAACAACTATTAGTCTATGAAAATTTTCCATAGGAATCAAAGAAAAACCTTCACATCTCAAGTAAAGAACTGTTTCAAAGATTAGAATATGTAGATTGTAATGCCTATTATATTCGACAGTCATCTCACTAGATCATAACTAATGTCAAGGAGCATCTAAGTTACATAAAAAAAGATCTATTAATCCTGTAGAACTCGAGAATCTTCGAAATAAATCAGCAATAACAGTGCATTTTATTGTTCAAAAACACCGAATGGATATTATGAATATCAAAATAATCCACAAATGTTTTCCCAAATATAAAGGCAAATTGCAAAAGTTTCTCAAATACTACCAAACTCTAATGTGCTCAAAAGAAAATAAGGTATTACTGTCTATCCAATTTGAACCATTTGTCCAAATAGTCATACATAATGCGATTGTTAATACATAACATTGAATGAAATATATCAAGTTTAATTTGATAAATCATATAAGCTATTTTCTGTTCACATATCATGAGTAATACAATAAAGTAACTTGAAAGGGGTTAAATTAAGTTCTATAACGAGCCTTAGGTTTAATACATAATATATTCCTTAAATTACTTATTACATATACAATCTTCATCCTCAGATAAGTTTATATTGTTACACTCTTTGTTTGAACAATTTTCATACTTTTGATCAAATATGTCACCGACTACCACACATTCGATTGAACGCGATACTTTCAAATTTCTCAGAGAGCACAACATACATCTAAACCGCTGATTTAAAATTCAGTAATCCCCATATACAACTCTAATACAATTGCATTGTGAGTTACATGTTTTTGTGAAGTTTCAAGAGAAGACCTCATATGTTTTTTTCTTTTCCTTTAGTATCGTTTTTGAGATAAAGCAACTTTAACTTTCGTTACAAGAATTAATCTTGAGTATTTTACAACACTGAACTGACTTTCTATTTGAATAAAAACAAATCCACTGTTATAGTTCTATTCATAGTTTTGAAGAGTAAGTTTTACTATTCTTATTCTTACATATAATTGGAGTGGCTGAAAATACTTCTTTTGGATGCAAACCTCTGGCTTTTTGATCCGAATAGCAATTGTTTCAGCTGTCTGTAGGATTCGCAGTCTGACGGAATTAGGTAGACTGTTGTTAACACGATAGACTATTGCAAAAGTTATATTAGCAAATGTTCTAGGGATTTGTACATTCGGGCTCGTGAGCCCCTCCCCGTGTGGTTAAGAAAAGGTTTAGTCAAAACTGTTGACAGCTCCATCTTAGACCATCTAGTTCAAACAGGACATACAGCCAACATGAAGCAATCTTTTGCAATAGTCTATCGTCTTACATATAATTAGTAAGAATGATTTTGAACAGTTATCTTATGACATAAAAACAAGTCGATCCTTTTTTTGTTGAATACTACTGACCACTTTTATTATTAGTAATAATAATAGTAATAATAACAGACACAAATTTTGGTGGTTAAATAATAGAAGAGCCCGTGCACAAATAGATAAGAGAAACTATGTTTATATTTATACCAACAACCAATGAAAGAGGAATGATAAAATAATTAAGCTGAATTCAGAATTTAATGAATAGATACATTAAATTCTACTCTCATGTAAGGTAGACATGTGATAAAATTCTCAATAGTAAACATTTGTAGACAATTATAGCGTTATTCAATTTTTAACCAAATCTCTGCATTGCCATCTTCACCATTCATTAATGATGGATCGTATATAATCCAATAATATGGTTCTGGCATATAGTTAAAATTACCTTCTGATAATTGTTCAATAAAATCCTTTGTTTCATCCATAAATTCATCTTGTTTAATAGATTTTAAATGGAAACGTCTGCGCGTATTCAAAAGAATTCAAGATGGAAATGTTTTCAGTAAATAAAATATGAATTAAGTCATTGAACAATATCTACTATAAATAATGTGAGAAGAGTAAAATCTACCGCATAACATGAATTCATCACACTTCAAGTTTAATTATCGGCTACCACGGCCTAAAGCTACCTTGATAATATTTATAAATTGAAATCAATGAAATTTAGTTTGAAATGACATGCAAATGAAGAAGAAGAAGAAGAGGAAGAAGAAACAGCATATTCCACATAAAATTGATAAGTATTTCATCTGTTAAAGATGAAATCATCAAAGGAGAGAAGGGGTTGATGTTGTAAACGATGATAAAACGGACATTGAATAAAAACAAATGAGCAATAATCAAGCCACCTAGCTGATATAAAATTAAAGTTAATATGGTTACTGAACGTCAACAACAAAGAGATAACGTAATTGACAAAAGCCAAAATAATATGACTATTTGACCATGTCAACGAGAGGTCCACCGCACATGCATTCTTTGTACAAAGGTTAAGGCGAAAGCGCCACTTCATTACATGACTTCATCTTTAACATATGTATAACGTTAATCATGCTATTTCCTATATTTGTTTCTTATGTTGCTTCGAACTAAATTTTATTGATTATGGTACATAAATATTACCAATGCAACTTTAGGTTGTTTGTAGCTCATGATAAATATTGATATATAATGAATTCATGTTGTACCGCAAATCCTGTTCTTCTCGCATCATATAAATTTACCAAGGGATCGGGATGCATGAAATGTTCAGTGTGTACAATGTGTTACATTTTAGTAACCAGTGTAACTAATACTTACTGAATACAAGTTATATATATATATATATATATATATATATATATATATATATATATATATATATATAACGTGTAACGTTTAGCATTATTAATTAAATTCTTAAAATGAAGTAGATACATTAAGCTTCAAATGTTTATGATCAGGTGAACCACTTACCGTATTGTATACACCAGGAAAAAGTAGACATATGATAACCAACAACGTACAAATAATTAATCTGTGTGAAGGTCCCGGGTTTGATCTCTGGTCGCGCGGTTGCGAACGCGAATTACTAAGGAATCCTACACTAGGAAGAAACGCCCGTTCAGTACTTCCAGGTTTTCAAAAGTGGTTTAACCTAGATCTACTCATGGTTTCAATGTAATTCAACAATATTCATAGCCTATTACTGATAATAACCAAGTCAAAAAAGCTATCGTAAGAGCTTAATAACAAAGTTTAAAAATATTCGTTAAAATTATCCTAAAACTTTAGGGATAAATTACAACTTATTTGCCAAACAATAGAGACTTTTGAAGAACTGACTGCACTTTACATAAGACACTAGCGAAGCTATTGCAACGATGTAGCTACCCAAGGGAGTTCTAACGATATATCCTTATTTACAAAACGACAATTTCCCGTTCTTTCTTTCAGAAACCATAATTCTAAGAGAAATTCAGTATCTATATTTTCGAAAAATACAGGAATATCCAGTAACTCCAAGGTCCTATACAAATGCTCCGTTGATAGGAAGATGTTGTGAACGAGAACACAAGTGGGTACAACCAATGTACTTTTAATACAAAACTGCAGAATATTTTGGTAAAATATGAGAACTATACATTGAATACTTCATTTGCAAATTTCCATCATTTGTACTCCACACTTTCTATGATTCTTCCAGTTCACGACTTCATCCTATTTCCTCTTCTATTCTCTTCTTTTTCTTCTGCTGCCACTCATTCAATTTATCATTGGTGTTACATACTACTTATATCGATAGACATAGGTAACACACACCATACTATAGAGATGAGAGTATTATACAATCGTATTATAAGACTATGAGTTCAAACTTTGTTTCACGTGGTATGATGCAAGTATTTTATTTACGGGCATTGGGTTTATTACACACATAAGTTTTCGGAATGTACCAATAATATACATGAAAATCTTACTTTATATAAACAGAGAAATTAGGCCATTCGCTTTGGAAAATATGAGGTGATTTACCACACGCTTTCATGCCAATCTGATCATCTGTCACGTGCCGAAGTACCGTGAATAATGATTCGCAAGCAGGTCCTCCACTTGGTCTGATTTCCACAACAGTTGGATATTTATTGCAGTCTTTTGAGCCTAATTAAAAAACCGTATACAAAAAACCATTCAAAATGAACTCAATCAAGTCAAGTCTTAAACACTCGCATTAAATTAAATCTATTAAATATACTGCCCTTGGCATGCTTTTGATTTGTCTGGTTTCTCCATTTGTATTACGACTAACACAAATCAGAATAATGTATAGTTTCAATTAAAGTGGATTTTTATACATTTATGTAGCCATTGAAAGATGTGTTATGTCGAGACAAAACATTGCTTGCTTAGATTTTAACGTATAGCTGAGCTGTTATGACAGAAAATTAGTTATATGATCTCTAGTTTGATTAAAAACTAGTTTACCTGTTAGTAAAACTGATGACCTATTTACCAATTGGCACACTGATCAGTGAACATCAACAAAGATTAACGCTTATTGGTCCCCAAGATCCTTCTAACTCAGTGATCAACCATAAAACGAAGATAGAAAGCAGACCAGTTCTCTATTGTACTGAAGCTAGTCATGAGTCAAAACTAATTTATTAATATGATTGAAATATTTAACCACACGGCAACACAACTATTAAATTACAATGTGAACATAGGTTAGTCATAAGCGGTACAAAACTAGAGTAAGTAGTAAATAATTATCCAGGGAAAAACATGGGACAATAACGTATATGAAAAGTTCACAAGTCAAACACCAAGCTACAATCTTTAAAGCGGTCCTATTTGTGGTCTAGATACTCTAACAAACTGATCACAATATCCTAATCAAAAACAAAGTGAACGTAATATTTTTAAAATAGAAAAGTTATCTTTTAAATACACCAATTTTAACTGAATATTGCGACAAATAGCAGAACGTAATACTAAAGCTTTAAAATGCTTTCTAATGTACAAAAATGAAGCAAAAAACCAAAATATTTTACACATTAACATATGAAACAAGACAAATTACCAAAATTTTCGGCAAAAGCAACTTCAACTTGTTCCATAATTTCATCAAATGTCATACTCTCATTTCTGTAACCCATCCACTTACTCACTCGAACAGATCCCTTTTTGACTTTCTGCCAATTCGTGTAATTTTCCTACTTAACTTACCCCAGATTCATAGGATTCCAATACATCATACAAAGGGCTGCACATCTTTCAGCAACGTTATTTTAAAATACCTGCAATAGATATGTTATATATATATATATATTGAAGTGTAAGAAACTAGTAAGTACTAGAATATCTAGAGTGTATCGTATACTGAGATTTCGTTTGGTTGAACAAATGCACTCATACTTAAACTCACCTCAAAAACGAATATAATTCAGTTGACATCATTACCTCTTACTCATCTTTATTATTCGCATTTTTATTAAAAATGAACATTAAACATATTAAAATGAACGTGATTCGTGTACGTAATAAAATAACTTATCAGGAATAGCTTCTTCAGGCAAAACGCAAGGATTCACTTTCAACTATTATTCTCTCTAAGACTTTAATTAAAAAGAGAAGACGGATGTAATGTATTTTGAGTTTTCTAAAGTTTTCGATAGTCGATCATACAGATTTTATCAATAAGCTTAACACGAAAGGTAATTTGCTACTGATAGACGAAATTAAATATTTAAATAGTCAAAATTTCAAGGTAAGGGTAGGCTCCACATTCTCCCAATCTACAGAAAGCCTCAATGGGGTCCTGTACAATAACTTGAAAACTAATGTTCCTGGCGGTCTCATTTTCTTAAGAATAAGTCGATCAATAATCATCAAAGTAAACCTAATCGTAAGTACCTATTAAATAGATCAAAGCCTTTCCAGCTAGGCGTTTCCAGAACCGGTGATCAGTTTGTGATAAAGTTATTAGTTCGCGATACCAAACTACGGGACTATAATCCATGGGGTAGCATGACTTAACTTACTCTCAACATTGGTGTAAAAACAAATTCAGATGAGATATTTCGTCAATTACAAATACAAATTAGACAATAATGCGCTCTAGAAGTGTCGTATGGTTGAGAAAGTACCGGAAGTCTTGTTATGCTATATTTCGAAGCCCTTAGCCGAACGGAAAAATACCTTTACAATAAACCTTGGGAAAGTAAATTTCTAATGCTCCTTATTCCAGTTTGGTAGGAGAACGTCCCACCTATATCCTAAGATTTACTAGACATCGTGTTTAAATGAATTTAGAGCACGAAAATATCGAGTATCTGTGGTGTTCGAATGAACTAGTGACGACAAGGAAATTTCACCGCTGGCCTCAACTGAATATTCAATAAAAACTGCAATGATAATTGGAGTAGCTGCTTCAGTTTCGAACTTTGGTTCACAACCAGTGTCGTTTGGGAACATGGATTATCGGTGTTTTCATCACTGGATTAATGTTTATACAGACACACCGCTAGTATACTTAACGCATTCCAAATCCAATGAAAGCCAACAATCTTATCATCACACCATAATATTTTCTTACCGCTTCCAACGTAAATGAAAAGTGTCCGCCAGGTTAAGGTCGAATGTGTTCTCGCTGATGCATATATAACCCAAACATCAATTAGATACTATATTCGTATAGCAATACTTTATATTGAGTAAATAATATCGACTTATTTGACACAGAAAGAACTATGATAAGGATGTTGGTATCATCCATCTATGTTTCGATTGTAGAAGACCCCTAATAAATTTTGACTAGTCTAATTGAATTAGTTTCAGTGTATTTGATAGGTTCTCAGTAGATATTAACATCTAAAAAGAGAATTGTGGTTTCTGGGCTGTAGCCATTTTCGATCATGGCAGTGTAAAGTTTCATACTACCAAAACGTTTAACAGAAGAACAGTTTGGACATTCGTTTTTTTAAATTTTAAGGATACTTGAGATTGAGCTGGCAATAAGTTATTTATGTGGGGAGGTTTTGGAATGGAAGAACGGTAGTGAACTCTAAATTGAGGGAATAGGTGGCGCAGGGTGGGAAAGCAGCAGATCAAATCATAGACATCATAAACTTCTCAGTACTCATTATAAACCATCTTTTTAAGTTCTTAGACATTCTAAAACGCATTCGCTTTATTGCTGAACGATTTTATAAAATCCCTGAAGGTTACAATGCAACAGAACGGTCAGTCACCAACAAAATAATGTTCATGGATAATGGTGATAACATAAGAGACCGAGAGAATTTTCAAAAATTCTGAAAACCTCGTAAAACCTGTTTGCGGCCAATACAACTCAACAGCTTCAAAACCCGTATAGAAGTCCTTCTAGGGGATAGTACAAATCAAAGATGAAAAGGTAATATTCAGGAAACAGCCTATTGTTAGAATGAAGGAGTTATAGCTGAAAAATAAGATTGTTCATCTTTTTATTCAACATAAATATCATATTTCCTATTTCCCTCTACTAATTGATGAGACGTTTGCGTATTTATATCGTTCAACTTGTTCTCCGTATAGTGTGATAAACTGTACGGTATTTTTAGTCAGGGGTGTGTAAATTCAAACATATGGTCACGTAGAGCCAGCGTCTGCTACTGTGATTAGGATTAGCATTTTACCTAACTTATTTATCAGGTTTACCTGATAACAGACGTCCCAGCTCCCTTTATATGCAGGTTTTTACTAGATCATGGCATATAATCTTTGGTCTAAACAAGCAATAGTATGTGCGACGAATGATTTTTCAAAATAAATATTTGGTGGTGCTCCTACCATTCTCCGATATTCCAGATGATAAGCAACGAGTTTTTTTCTTGTCATAAGATTATATATATATTTATTTACATGACGTGATATGATTTCGCTTCCTCAGAGTTTTGCCCATATTTATGTATTTTGTTCTTATTGTGTCGGGACTCACACCTAAATTGGAACGTCTGAATTATATCTACTTTGTCTATTTGCTGATGCGGCCAAGGGACGAAAAACCTACCACATCCGACAGTGCTCCTTTATCAAATGTGATTGGATTAGCGTTCTCCGTGTTGTAATTCTGGACCTTGCTTTTTCATATGTGGACGTCGATGCTAACTGAAGGTAATGTTTAACTAACTGTATGAAGACTTTCATGTTCTGGCTATACGTCATGCCTCGCCACGATCAAACATATGATCGATCTGTACTTCCAACTGATGCCCGATAAGTATCCTGAACTTCCCATAGTTTCCGTATTTGACATAAAACTACTAACACCGCTGCACATCCATTTTCGAAAGCGCGCCAGAATCCTGCAAAAATGACTTTCTTACTTACTCACTTACACCTGTTACTCCTTGTGAAGGAGCATAGGCCGCTCACCAGCATTCTCCATCCAACCCTGTCCTGGATAAGCCTTTCCAGCTCCTTTCGTTTGTTATTCATCCTTTCCGTATCTGCTTCTATTTCCCGACGTTTTGTGTCCTTTGGCCTTCCTCTTTGCCGCTTCCTTTCAGGATTCCAGCTGGAAGTTGGTTTGTTCTCTCCCATAGAAGACTGTTGCTGATGGTATTCGGTGAATGGATGTTGATTATCTTGCGTAGACAACGATTTATAAATACTTGTACTTTCTTGATTGTGGTTTTTGTAGTTCTCCAAGTTTCAGCTCCATACAGTAGAACTGCCTTGACATTCGTATTGAAGATTCTCACTTTGATATTGGTTGAAAGTTGTTTTGAGTTCCATATGTTCTTCGATTGTAGGAATGCGGCCCTTGCTTTGCCAATCCTTGCCTTTACGTCTGCATCTGAACCTCCTTGTTCATCGATGATGCTTCTCAGGTATGTGAAGGACTCTACATCTTCCAGAGTTTCGCCATCAAGAGTGATTGGATTGCTGTTTTCCGCTTTGAATTTGAGGACCTTGGTTTTTCCTTTGTGTATGCTAAGGCCTACTGACGCAGAGACTGCTGCTACACTGGCTGCCTTTATCGGCATTCGTTCGCGTGTATTGGACACAAGGGCTAGGTCGTCTGCGAAGTCCAACTCGTCTAATCGGTTCCGAGCTGTCCATTGAATGCCGTGTTTTCCCTCAGATGTCGAGATCTTCATAATCCAGTCGACCACCAGAAGAAAGAGGAAGGGAGAGAGTAAACAGCCTTGTCAGACTCTGGTCCTTACTTGGAATGCATCTTTCAGCTGTCCTCCATGCACGACCCTGCATTGTAGTCCTTCGTATGAGTTCCGGATAATATTAACAATCTTCTCAGGAACTCCATAGTGTCAAAGAAGTTTCCACAACGTCCTCCTATCCACACTGTCAAATGCCTTTTCATAATCACTGAAGTTGATGTATAGTGACGAGTTCCACTCAATTGATTGTTCAATGATGATCAATAGTGTCGCAATTTGGTCCGTGCACGACCGATCCTTACGGAATCCAGCTTGTTGTTCTCGAAGTTGTGCGTCTACTGTGTCTTTCATCAGGTTCAGCAACATTCTGTTAAAGACTTTCCCTGGTATTAACAGTAGTGTGCCACCTCTGTAGTTTTCACATTTGCTCAGATCTCCTTTCTTTGAAATCTTGATGAGGTGTCCTTCTTTCCAGTCTATCGGCACTTGATCCTCCTCCTGAAAAAATGAACTTGTCTAAAACGAGCTCAATCACATTTTAGATTTGGAAATAATCTAGCATGAAACGCCTTTTGCTGGACTTATTTAGAGCTCGAAAGCTTGACTCAAGGTGAAATTCATGGATTCTTCATCTTTCTCAGTAAATGTGGGTATTGATTGTTACAATAGTATGCTCACAGATGTAATGCGTTCCGTTAAACACTTTCTCTCTCGTTTGTAAACAACATCGATCTACTATAACCTTACATGTGTTGATTTTCCCATTAAATAATCGAGTTAACACCGCGCTTTTCGAACGGGAAGTTTAGTCCTAACGTGATTTGCATTTATCAAACTTTTGCTTTGTTCTTACGCAACAAAAGTACCATTTCAGTTCTAAAGAATCTATCCTGAGCTATACGTTCGGTAGATTACTTTTCTTTGAGTTTCACTATATTTAATAGTTACCTGTGGTTTTGCCTCAGCTTACTATTCGGTTTTTTTTGTTTTTCACGTATAGACTAGTTTCAGTTTATATCACTCGTTTTGTCCATTTTTGTCCGTTTTTAGTGTGCTTTTTAGTGTTTTTTAAAAAGGTCTTAGGCTCTTGCAAGCATCTATAACATA